CGGTCCATCTGCCGGGCTTATGGGGGTCCGTGCAGGTGGTTTCTTTTATTGTGCACGAGCGTACCCGTCGGGTTTATGGGAGCCCGGCGGAGTTAGTTAGATTGCTTGTCTTTGTTGCCTGTACGCTCGTGTACATACCCCCATTTACTACTCTTTGCACTTGATGTGACCCTTTATTTGCATTTCAGTTTACTTTTGCTTATCTTGCTCAGTCGGCTGATGATGCCTACTGGGTACCTATTTTTTTGGTACTCATGCTACGCTCTGCATCTATTTCGTGATGCAGGTCCGGGCACTAGTAGCCAGCGTTGATCGAGCTTGGAGCAGACTGATCCGGAGACGGGAGTGAGCACACGACGTTTTGTACTATTTCAGTCTCCATCTGTATATATAGACTTGTCTTTTTCCTTTCGAGACAGTCCAGTCTCTGTTGTCCACTTTTGGGACTTGTACTCATTTTGTTAGTAGCTCTGTACTAGTGACTTCCAGGTTCTGGGAGGGATCTTTATTTGTGTATATATTTTTGGTTTGCTTCCGCCTGTTTATATTGTTATTTGCCTACTCTTGTTTAGTTTCTACCCTCAGACCCATTACTTGTTGTTCCGGGTTACGGGTTGGCTTACCTACTGGTGGGTTATAGTAGGTGCCATCATGACTTGAGAAATCGGGTCGTGACAAAACATCATGTGAGAATATAAGATGTGTTACTTGGGACAAAAATGTTGTGCTAGTGTCTGATCCTCCAAAAATGCATAGCTATTGGAGGATCTAATCTAACACACCCAACAGTATCATTGAAGAGTCTGAGCAACATAGAGTATAAGTATTTTAATTTTGTACCTAGGTGCATGCAATATGATAGATTACGTAAAGCAGCAAAGCAGTAAGGTTGATCAATTTATTCACCCACCTGAACCTGATCTTGAAGGGTTCGAATGTGCTGCACTGCTAGATCCAGCATGTCAGCGTAGCTCGTTTGCTGCAAAAACAAACAAGAAAATATTGTTAATATTGGAGTGTAGCTCGTTTGCTGCAATAAAATTTGCAGCTCAAGCATGTTCCAATAAGTGCAAATTGAGAAAATATTGTGAAGTGGAACATAAGAAAAGAAAGCATACAATCAAGATTACTGAAAGACTAGTTTTTTGTTTACACAAAATCTATACATATTCAATAAATTGATGAATAACAGCATTTTAGCATGCCAAGTAACAATTATCCAATTGAATAGCACGCCACTTCCAATAGCTAATTTTCTTTGTTCCAAGCAAACATGATTACAGAGTTATAGTATATGAAGCACTTCATAGATAGCTATAATTTATAATTGCAGAGCTATACTGCAAGTTCGGCTTAAAACTTAATGACACTCATCCCCCTCCAACACCATAAAGACATTTCTTGTGATACTCTTCTCTCACACAAAAGTTAATGTGAAATGAGCAAACTATACCTTGTCCATGTTTGGAACAAGATCTTGTAACTTCTTTAGTTTCCCACTAATTCTGGTTCTTCTTTCCTGCATAAGATAAGAAAAGAAAAGAAAAGAATGTTCATTATCACGTATTAGAAAAAACAAAACATAGCTATGATGATCCAAATTTTGAGGAAAAGTATTTCAAATGCCGCAACTACTACATGTTGATAACTACATCTAGTGTTACATAATGGAAAAATTGCCATTTAAAATCAGTGGCTGGACAGTTGCATCAGCTTCAGATAGTATCTTGAACTTCATTCTCAATCAAAGCCATATAAATTGAAATGGAGCAAGGGAAAAATAAATTGATAAAGTTCAATTGGATTTTTATTTCTTTGTTCATTATAAGGGCCAAGAGTAAAGGAATGACTTAAGAAATATGAAGATCACCCTTTCTGCAATGCTGCGAGGATGAGTAGCACAACCACGCTTGGCACGAATTTTGCAAGGAACAGAATCCTCGGGGATGTGCAGCAATCTATCCATAGATGCCATTTCTAGTGCTGTCTGAGACAAGCCAAACTGAAACTGAAATGGTTCAAAAATCGAAAAACATCAGTTCATCCTCCCACAAGTAATAAAAATGCAGTTTTCATCAATTTTTGTGAGAGTTACGCACGAGAAACATGATTGAGTATGCCAACATGGATTATTTTGTCTGTTTTATTTTACATACTTCTGCAGAAAGAAAACAAACACATATACAGAATGTAGTTGTAAGGTTGTTAAGGGGAAAAATGTAGAGGAAGTATATCTATCGCTGTTGACATGTTGAAAACACAGACGTCAAACATTGAAGGTTTATGTGTTTTCTGATAGTGAGTATCAAGTTCATATTAGCTGGAAGAAAAAAGAAAGGTAGGGAATTAGGGATAAAAGAATGCAAGCGAAAAAACAAATTATCAACTTTTACAAAGATTTCAGATAAGGGGAAATAACAGATTTTGAATCAGTTGTTAAGGTCACCAAATCAAAGCACATGACATGTTTTCATCTAGAAGGTTAACATCATTAAAATTACATCTCACTTTTTCACATAAATGTTGTTAACTTTAGGCATATCACATGCACAACTCTAGATTTCAGGATAAAGAAAACATGACCCTTAAACACTCACAACTAAAAATACAATTTCTCCAGAGAAACATACTTGCACAAAGTTGCAGTTATATTACCTGAGTTTCCCCATCATCGAGCCCATTGACAATGTCATTGCTAATCTGCTTGGCTCGTTTGCCTGGTGTGACAGAGAACATTATAGAGTTGTTATCTTCCCAAGAACCCATTGCGAAACTACTTGCACTGGCATAAGAATGTGTTGACTTTCTGTGGCCATTGGCTATACTGGTCCCTTCAATATCCTCATTTTCCTCTGCTATTTGAGAGAGAGCTTCTTGCCTAGTGAAGCTGAGCTGAGAGTTCAGCCTTGTTATTCCCCGGCTACTATCTCCACCGCCTTTTGAGTTATAGCTTCCTCTCCCCATTGAAACTGAAAATCCTAACGTCAAGTCAAACTAGAATTATATTACGAGTTATGGTAACGAGGTCTTTTTTACCAAATTAAAATCTTTACAATATATTAGATATGAATCTTTTCGTGGGTGTGACTCAAAAATGTCACCACAAAAGCTGATAGTTCTAGTGTGACCCTTGTAGTCTCCATGGAAAAGTATTTGGTTTCATTTGTCTCTATATATTAAGGTCTTCTTTGACAAAATTAAAGGATATTACAGACATAACATAAAGAGATCCTCTTTTCCACATCAAATTGTTTGACTTTCATTCGATAACTAAATTCTACAGGTGCGTGTCGGATCCTCCAAAAATAGTGTATTTTTGAAGGATCCGACACGGGTGCGCATTATTTTTGGAGAGTCCGAGCAACTTAGAATATTACTACTCAAACTATAGATAAAACCAACGACAACAAGATATACACAGACCTTACCCTACCTTGTTAGGTAGAGAGATTGTTTCCGGTAGACCCTCAGGTCAAAACAACTAATCTACTAAAGCTCCATTTCATGGGATATATGGAGGAAAATATTACCTAGTGTTTTGTCTTTGTTAGGAACTGAACCTAGGACCTTATCAGTGGCGGATCTATAGAGTTGACCACTAGACAGAACAGAATATGAACAGTAAATGTAAAAGTCCTAGATTTAAATAATTTTTTTATATAAGTCATCATTTAAATTTTATCACTATTTTCAGAAGTTGTGAAAATATAACCTTTAAAACTAACAAAACATTTAAGTTTGTTTAATGTCTACAAAATTTAAGATCACAATCAAGTCATTTCTTATAAGATTTTCAATTTACTATCTAGAAGGTTCATAAATTACCAGAACAAATAAAAATAGGATCATCTGCTAAACAGTTGACCATAAAAGTTTCAGAAAATATCTTAGAAGGGTAGAAAAAGGAGTCTGGTAAAAAAACATCAATTATTGTAAAACTAGTAAAGCACTCAAAAACATTGGGCTGGTTTTAGGTGGCGGCTAAGATATAAATTATATATATATGATGATAATAATGGATAGAGCAAGTGGGAATAACGGGTCAAGTAAATACCCATGCACGTGATAACTCACCAGTCATGGAATTTTAGGAGCTGTTTGGTGAATGTATCTTGACCTCAAAATAAGTAAAAATGGATTCAAAGAATCGTAGGCACAATCACCATCAATTAAATAAAGGGACAAAACCCCTTCCCTTTTCTTTATTCATTATTTTATTGGCTAGTTGGTACTTTAGTAGAATTTTATATAATGTCAACTTGCTATTTGAAAGTTTGGACCCCACCAAAAAAAATGCTCACTTCCTCCAATAAGGAGCTTCTTGCTAAGATTATGATTAAGGAAACAAGAAAATAATAATATCTATATTGCTCATTGGGGCACAAGTGACAACTTGTTCTATAAAGCTACTTAATAATTCGAAAATGGCCACTTATATCTCTACTTGTACAATACTCGTATAAAATACAAAGACCACAAAACATTTTTTGGCCCCTAAAAGTTCTTCAATTTTGTCTATTACATTACTATACAGTTATACAATATTTTGTATCTTGATATTTCGTTAAAAATATTTTTCTTAAGACCTTACTTCAAATAACTTTTTTTAGCCTAAAGTTTCACTATCCCACAAAGGTAGGGGTAAAGTCTAGTACATCTTATCCTCCCTAGACCTTATTTGTGGAATTACACTTATATGTTTTTGTTGTTATTATTATTATTATAGGAATAAATTTAAAAGAAAATGGAGCTACATAAAATGAAACAAAACGAGTAATATGTCCCAAGTTGTACTTGTTTAATTTATTTATTTATTACTATTTTATTTGGGTTGAAGAAGAGAAAACTACAACATAACTAATGGAATAGATTCGTGCTCAAGAAGCACACCAACCTCTAATGTATCAATTTCTACAAGTGGAAAAAATGAATAAAGGAACCCCAACACCACTTTATTGACTCATTCAAGTTTGTGTGACATAATGAACATGACTTAGTTCATACACACATTAACTTAAGAAACTAATACAGCGATTAAAGGTCTAATAGTAGACCTAAACCTAACCTAGAGTAGATTATAATTATTAAAAAAAATTAATAGAGAATAAATTGCCTTATTTCGAGGTCAAAAC